CATTCCTACTGGAGAGATATTTCAGCTATTTACCAAAAAAGATTAACTCACCACAATTAATACCCAGAAATCTCTTGCATTTCTATACACTGACAGTGAAAGATCAGAAAAAGAAATTAAGGAATCAATCCCATTTACCATCTCATCAAAGAATAAAATACCTAGTAATAAATCTACCTAAGGAGGAAAAAGACCTGTATTCTGAAAACTATAAGATGTTGATGAAAGAATCGAAGATGACACAAACAGATGGAAAGATATACCATGTTCTTGGATTGGAAGGATCAGTATTGTCAGAATGACTATACTACCCAAGGCAATCTACAGATTCAATACAATACCAATCAAATTACCAATGGCATTTTTCATAGAACTAGAACAAAAATTTTACAATTTGTATGGAAATACAAAAGACCCCAAATAGCCAAAGCAATCCTGAGAAAGAAAAATGGAGCTTGAAGAATCCAGCTCCCTGACTTCAGACTATACTACGAAGCTACAGTCATCAAAACACTATGGTACTGGCACAAAAACAGAAATACAGATCAATGGAACAGGACAGAAAGCCCAGAAACAAACCTGCACACCTATGGTCAATTAATCTACAACAAAGGAGGTAAGAATATATAATGGAGAAAAAAAAGACAGTCTCTTCAATAAGTGGTGCTGGGAAAACTGGACAGCTACATGTAAAAGAATGAAATTAGAACATTCTCTAATACAAAAATAAACTCGAAATGGATTAAAGACCTAAATGTAAGACCGGATACTATAAAACTCTTAGAGGAAAACATAGGCAGAACACTCTGTGACATAAATCACAGCAAGATCTTTTTGGATCCACCTCCTATAGTAATGAAAATAAAAGCAAAAATAAACAAATGGGACCTAATGAAACTTAAAAGCTTTTGCACAGCAAAGGAAACCATGAACAAAATGAAAAGACAATGCACAGAATGGGAGAAAATATTTGCAAATGAAGCGATTAATAAGGGATTAATCTCCAAAATATACAAACAGCTCATACAGCTCAATATCAAAAAACAAACAACCCAGTCAAAAAATGGGCAGAAGACCTAAGTAGACATTTCTCCAAAGAAGACATACAGATGGTCAAAAAGCATATGAAAAGATGCTCAACATCACTAATTATTAGAGAAATGCAAATCAAAACTACAGTGAGGTATCTATCACCTCACACCAGTAACAAAAAGTCTACAAACAGTAAATGCTGGAGAGGGTGTGGAGAAAAGGGAACCCTCCTACACTGTTGGTGGGAATGTAAACTGGTACAACCACTATGGAGAGTAGTATGGAGGTTCCTTAAAAAACTAAAAATAGAGCTACCATATGACCCAGCAATCCCACTCCTGGGCATATATCTGGAGAAAACCATAATTTGAAAAGATACATGTACCCCAGTATTCATTGCAGCACTATTTACAGCAGCCAAGACATGGAAGCAACCTAAATGTCCATTGATAGAGGAATGGATAAAGAAGATGTGGTACTTATATACAAAGGAATCTTAGCCATAAAAAAGAATGAAATAATGCCATTTGCAGCAACATGGATGGACCTAAAGATTATCATACTAAGTGAAGGAAGTCAGACAAAGACAAATACCACATGATATCACTTATATGTGGAATCTAAAAAAATGATACAAATGAACTTATTTACAAAATGGAAACAGACTCACAGACTTTGAAAACAAACTTATGGTTACCAAAGGGAAAAGGAGGCGGGGTAGAGATATATTAGGAGTTTGGGATTAACACACACACTACTATATATAAAACAGATAATCAACAAGGACCTACTGTACAGCACACAGAACTCTACTCAATAATTCTGTAATAACCTATATGGGAAAAGACTCTGGAAAAGAATGGATATACATATATATATATAACTGAAATCACCTTGCTATACACCTGGAACTAACACAATACTGTAAATCAACTATACTTCAATATAAAATAAAAATTAAATTAAAAAAAACTGAAACAAGATAAGGATTCCACTATTATTTATCATTTCTCTGCATAAGAAAAAAATGATATAAATCTTGGAAGAGATAAATTACCATTTTGTATAGTTTACATATCTACCAGAAAAACCCAAGAGAATCTCCAAAACTATTAGAATATGTAAATTAAAATGCAAATCTGTAAATATAACCTAGAATTAATGGGTATGACATTAATACACATTAGCAATAAACACTTAGAAATTATCACAGTAGAGGGGTGTGATAGGTGGTCCCATTTATAGAGCAAAAATCTGTAAAATCTCTAGGCAAAAACATTTAACAAGAACTGTAAAAGAAAAGAAGAAAGAGAAAAGGAGGTAAATGAAGAGTAAGCTATAAACCTGTTTTAAACAAATAAGACCTGAATAAATGAAGAGATATTTCTCTACACTGGACAAGAAAATTCCAAGGATATCAGTTCTACCCAATAGTCCAGAAACAAGACCAAATAAATAAAGGAATTTAGTATATATTAAAGGTTGCATTTTAAACCACTGGGAAATATGGTATTGGAACAACTCACTGACTATATGCCAAAAAAAATCCATCTCATACTCCAGAAAAATATACTCCAAACAGATTAAAAAGTTAAATTCAACAAGAAAATTATGGAAGTATTAGAAGAGAATACCAGAGAATATCTTTCATAACCTTGGGGTGGCAAAGGCTTTCCAAACATAAAATGCAGCCTTACCATAAAAACGCAGATTGAAAGACTGGATGACAATCAAATAAAAAGAACTATAGGGACTTCCCTGGCGGTCCAGTGGTTAAGACTCTGCGCTTTCAATGCAGGCAGCGTGGGCTTGATCCTTCGTCGGGGAACTAAGATTCTACATGCTGCACGGTGCAGCTCAAAAAATAAATAAATAAACAAAATCTTTAAAATAAATAATTTAAATTTAAGAATATAAAAATTGGGCTTCCCTGGTGGCGCAGCGGTTGAGAGTCTGCCTACTGAGGCAGGGGACACGGGTTCGTGCCCCGGTCCAGGAAGATCCCACATGCTGCGGAGCGGCTGGGCCCGTGAGCCATGGCTGCTGAGCCTGCTCGTCTGGAGCCTGTGCTCCGAAACGGGAGAGGCCACAACAGTGAGAGGCCCGCGTACCGAAGAAAAAAAAAAAAAGAATATAAAAATTAAAAAAAGAACTATATATGGCAAAAGATACTAATAAATGCAAATGACAGGCTAAAATACAATGTTTATAATATACATAGTAGGTAAAGGTATAATATCCTTACTTTACACCAGAAATGAAAAGGCAAGCCATGGACAAAAAATATTCACAGTGCATGTATCTGACAAAGGACTCAGGTCCAGAATATACAAAGAACTCCTACAAATCATTAAGAAAAACACGGACTGCACAATTAATAAATGGGCTGAAGACTCAAATGGGCACTTCACAAGAAAATATCCAAGCGGTCTATATACATATGAAAAGGTGTTCATTATGAGGTACTACCATACACCCACTGAATGGCAGTGTGATCTGACATATCCACTTCGGAAAACTGTTTGACAGTTTCTACTAAAGCTAAACATATGCCTACACTAGAACCTAGCCATTCTAATCCTAAATATATACCCAAGGAAAATGAGTACATGTGTTCACAAAAAGACATGTACAAAAAAGTTCATAACAGTTTAATAATAGCAAAATGTCAGAAACAATTCAAATGTCTCCCAACAGGAAAACAGATAAGTTACTGCATGTTCATATAATAGAATCCTACACAACAACAAAAAGAAACACACAAGAATATAACTGAATCTCAGAGATATTATGCTGAGTGAAGGAAGCCACACATAAATAAGTACATACTGTATGTGTCCAATTATCTAAAGTTCAAGAACAGGCAAAACCTGTTTTGAAGTGATGGGCTTCCTGTGGGAGTATGAAATGGATTGAGAAGGCACACAAGGAAACCTAAAGGGGTGGTACAATTTTCTGAATCTTAATTTGGGTGAAAGTACACATAAACTGTTATCAATCAGTACCCTTAAAAGCAAACATTTAGTAAGGTGCAAAAAGCAAAAATAGAATTTTATATTAAAGAATAATTTAACATTAATTAAAGAAATTAATATGATATAAAAGGTATAAAATACTGTAAATCCACACTACAAAGCAGTAGAAAATGAGAGTCACACAGGGAAAGCAGAAGATATTAAAAGAAATAATCCACAGAAGAAATTAAAATGGCCAAAAGTCATATTAAAAGATACTTATCTTCACTAAAAATCTAAGAAATATAAACTAAAATTAATACTACTATAATACCTGTCAGATAGCAAATATTAAGAAGGTTAATAGTATCAGGAATATGGGGAAGTAAGTATGATCATACACTATCTTTGGGATTCCATTTGGTACAACATTTTTGGGTGGCAAATTTGCAATATCCATTAATATTTTATATGGGTATATTGCAATCTCACTTCTAGGAATAAAAATGTTCACTGCAGTATTATTTGCAATAACCAAGATCTGAAGCATTTAAATGTCCATCAGTTAGTAAGTACTTAAATAATTTATTTTATGTCCAAGTAATGAATACTACTCAGCTACTTCTGAACTGATAAAAAAAAAAACCAATATCTATGATATCAAGTTAGGTGAAAAAAAGTTACAATCAATATATCCATGAGGACCTTGTTAGCTTAGAACAAAACCAAAACTCAGGTATGTACATATCTCCCAATTTACATATTTCTAAATTATAAATATAAACAATTATTTATAAATTGTATATTATTTACATATATAAAGTCTGGAAAAACAAATATCAAAATGTTTATAAATTATCTCTGGGTAGTAAGATTTTTAAGGATAGACTTTTAATTTTTATATACTTCCGCACTGTTTGAAAATGTTAAAGCAAGCATGTATTACTTTTATAATTAACAAAATGACTAACGGCAATAACAAAATATTTTTCCAGTTTTTTTTAATATTCATACCTGCAAAGCTTTTTCCTTCTCATTTGTCAGTTCTTGAGAATGCTTATTTGACAGTGTTGCTGTGTGTGATGCCCATTCATTCCGTAACTTATCTAATTCTTGGATTTTTTCTGATAATGTCTGTAGTAGAGTTCAGTATGAAATATTAAAATTCTTGAATGTTATTAGATTGGAACATGAAAATATTTGCCAAGTATATTAAAATATTTGCAAAGTATATTAAAGGAGATGGAATCACAGCTTTTTAAGACATACTCAAAGCCTTTTCTTACACAGATTTTTTTGTATTTAAAGAAATCAACATTAGAATAAAAGCAATTTTAGAGTTAAAATGGTCCACAGTTTAACAATCTTTTAGTTAAATCTGGCTCTTCGCCTCTCAATCCTCTCCTCTGGCATTAAGAAAAAAAGAAACCCAGGGTAGACCAAATCATAAGTAGTACAGATGACCTTAAACAACACAGGTCTGAAATGCACAGGTACGCTTATACTCCGCTTTTTCTTCAAGAAATATGTACTACGATACTACACAATCCACGGTTAGTTGAATCTGATGATGTGGAACCATAGATACGGAGGGCTGACTATAAACTTATGCAAGAATTTTCAACTGTGCAGGGGGCCAGTGTCCCTAACCCGCGTGTTGTTCAAGGGTCAACTGTAGTTTACTTATACACCTAAAACCTAGAAACACAGGTTCCCAAGATGGGCCACGTGGTGCAGGACAATTTTCTACCTGAAGCCATGCAGCTTATCAGATACTTTGGTCCTCAATTTCAAGGAGTAGCTATGACTGAAATGATGATAAGCCTATCAGAGGAATTAATTCTAAACTTAACAGAAGGAAGGAAGGGAAAGATTTAGAAGACAGGAACTGAAAAGCCATTTAGACAAGAGGAATGAGGTGAATTAAAGAGGGGCAGAACATATGACAGATACTACACATTATTTAATGAAGACTTGGAGAAAATGTGTCACATACTGGGGATAACAGAAATGTTTGGATAGAATAAACTATCAAGAAGAAAAAGCATCAGATTAAGACAACTGGTAGGGGAAGGGTGGCAAAAAGGAGGGGGAATTCAATGGCAGTGTGCTTTGAAAAAAAATACACAAAAGCCTAGATTTGATTCAAGAAGCAATTCAGAACCTATGTTTGGATGACTTACAAAGACAAAATGAAATTTGAATTACCTTTTGTGTGAAATTCAGTTGCCTGGTAACATCATCTAGTGATTGTGTCAATGATAATTTTTCTTCCTATTTATAAAAATAAAATTATGCAGCTTATAATTTAATCATCTGTAGCTGTGCTACTCAAAGTGCAGCAAAGTAAGCATCAGTACCACCCTGGGAGTTTGTCAGAAATACAGAATCACAGGCTCCACCTCAAACCTTCTGAGTTAGAATCTGCACGAGCAAGATCCCTAGAAGATGTGCCTAACCCTTAAATCTTGAGATGCACTGATCCATAGTGTTTGACTAAAAAGATTTTCTGAAAACTCTTACAAGGCATCCCAATGTTGTTTCCTTGTGCTACATACCTTATATAGTTATAGAGCACTTTCTAATCTTCAAAACACTTCCATATATTTTATCTCATTTAAGACAGCCTAGAGAGGGTACATATTTCTATACATATCTACCAGCTGATGAAACCAAGACACCAAGAGTTTAAGTGACTGCTCAAGGTCACAGAAAATCAGTAAAACTCCTGGGACCTCAGCTTCTCAATTCCTGGTCCAGTTCTATCCTGTTGTACCTTAACTAAAACAATAAAGTCAGTACATGCTATAAAAATTTCCTGGGGGCTTCCCTGGTGGCGCAGTGGTTGAGAGTCCACCTGCCGAGGCAGGGGACACAGGTTCATGCCCTGGTCCGGGAAGATCCCACACGCCGCGGAGCGGCTGGGCCCATAAGCCATGGCCGCTGAGCCTGCGCGTCCGGAGCCTGTGCTCCGCAACAGGAGAGGCCCCAACAGTGAGAGGTCCACGTACCGCAAAAAAAAAAAAAATTTCCTGTACATCTTTAAAAGAACTTTATTCAGAAAACAAAATCTAATAGCAATATAGCTTTTCAGTGGTTTATCAGAGAGCTCTGGGACTTATTTAAAAGATTAACTTAAATTTAAATCTTACCTTGCTACATTTCAAACAGTCTGCTAGAAACTTCTTTATTTCCACATCATTTCCAGGTAACAGTTTTAATGAAAGGTGTATAAGATGCTTAAAAGGATTTGTCTCTACCACATTTAAAAAAGCAGGTGAGTTATCCAAAATAGCTTCTGGAGAAACTAACTGTAGCAAAAACCTTTGAAAACAAAGTGTCACATAACACATTTATGAGACAGTGAAACTCTCCCATTGAATCATGAGCTCTATTGGATCATCAATGATTAAAAGGATCAGAAAAGGGAGCATACTGGAATCATAGGAGCCAATATGAAAGGACTCCCAACAGTAAAACTGGATTAATTAGTGTAAACAGTAAAATGGAGATTTATCTATTGATTGAAAACAATGAATATATAAATGTCCACGAGTTCACAATGAGAAACAGATGAGGAGAAGAAAACAAAACACTAAAAACAAAAACAAATCAAAAACCCATTGAAACCACAAAAGTAACTAGAGTAACAACTCCTTACTCTGAAAACTGACAATTTAAAAGTAAGAATTGAGCATTTATCCTTTCCTGTATGAATTTTCAGAGTAATCAAATAGCTCTAATTGATAAAGGAAAGTTCTTCTTTATAGAAGAATTATATCTAATAAATATAGGAAGAATGATGGAACTGGAAAAGCATAATTTTATAGTTACTAATTAATTCAAACAAGAATCGTCAATTGATGAAATTTATACATAAAAGGTTTGGGAGCTTTACAAGGGAAGGATCAGGTGTTACACTAAACAAATACAGATATACGTGCACACAAAATCTTATTCTTCCCTTTTTCCAAGTTCATTACAAAAACATATACTTGAACACTAGCAACAAAACTATCAAAAAGAGAAACTAAGGAAACAATCTCATTTACAATTGCACCAAAAGGAATAAGATTTCTAGGAATAAACCTACCTAAAGAGATAAAAGACCTGTATTCAGAAAACTGTAAGACAAGACACTGATGAAAGATATTGAAGATGATACAAACAGATGGAAAGATATACCATGTTCATGGACTGAAAGAATCAATACTGTTAAAATGACCATACTACCCAAGGCAATCTTCAGATTCAATGCAATCCCTATCCAAATACCAAGGGCATTTTTCACAGAACTAGAATTAAAAAATTTTTTAATTTATATGGAAACACAGAAGACCCTGAATAGGCAAAACAATCTTGAGAAAGAAGAACACAGCTGGAGGAATCATACTTCCTGACTTCAGACCATACTACAAAGCTACAGTAGTCAAGACAGTAGTACTGGCACCAAAACAGACACATAGATCAATGGAACAGAACAGAGAGCCCAGAAATAAACCCACACACTTATGGTTAATTAATCTACAACAAAGGAAGCAAGAATATACAATGGGGAAAGACAGTCTCTTCAATAAGTAGTGCTGGAAAAACTGGACAGCTACATGTACAAGAACAAAACAGAAAATTCTCTAACACCACATAAAAAAATAAAACTCAGAATGGATTAAAGACCTAAATGTGAGGCTGGAAACCATAAAACTCCTAGAAGAGAACATAGGCAGAACACTTTCTGACATAAATTGTAGAAATATTTTTTAGATCTATCTCCTAAAAGAAAAGGAAATAAAAGCAAAAATAAACAAATGGGACCTAATTAAATTTAAAAAGCTTTTGCACAACGTAAGAAAACTATCAACAAAACAAAAAGACAACCCACTGAATGGGAGAAAATACTTGCAAATGTTATGACCAATGAAGGGCTAATATCCAAAATACATAAACAGCTTATATAACTTAATATCAAAAAAACAAACAACCTGACAAAAAAATGGGCAGAAGACCTGAACAGACATTTTTTCAAAGACATACCGATGGCCAAAAAGAACATGAAAAGATGCTCAACATGGCTAATCATCAGGTAAATGCAAATCAAAACCACAATGAGATATTACCTCGCACCTGTCAGAATGGCTATCATCAAAAAGAACACAAATAACAAATGTTGACGAGCATGTGGAGAACAGGGAACCCTCCTACACTGTTGGTGGGAATGTAAATTAGTGCAGGCACTGTGGAAAACAGTAGGGAGGTGTCTCAAAAAACTAAAAACAGACCTACCTTATGACCCAGCAATTCCATTCCTGGGTACATATCCAAATCAAACAAGAACACTAATTCTAAAAGATACACGTACCCCAATATTCATAGCAGCATTGTTTACAATTGCCAAGATATGGAAGCAACCTAAGTGTCCATCAACAGATGAATGGATTGAGAAGATGTGGTATATATACACAATAGAGTACAAAAAAGAATGAAATTTGTCATTTACAACAACATGGATAGACCTAGAGGGTATTATGTTAAGTGAAATAAGTCAGGAAAGACAAATACTGTATGATATCACTTATATGAGGAATCTAAAAAATAGAACTAGTGAATATAACAAAAAAGAAACAGACACAGATATAGAGAACAAACTAGTGGTTACCAGTAGGTAGAGGGAAGGGGGGAGGTGCAATATAGGGGTAGAGAATTAAGAGGTACAAACTGCTATGTATAAAATAAATAAGCTACAAGGATATATTGCACAACCCAGGGAATATAGCCAATATTTTATAATAACTATAAATGGAATATAACCTTTGGAAAAAATATATATTTGATGCTGTTAAATATTTCAGGTAACTTTAATGGCTTTGCCAAAACATGAAAATTAAGGGGCAAGTATTTCTGATTTTATAAATTTGAGATTTATGAACCTCTCACCACAGCTTTGAAAATAGACAGAGGTACTTATATAGAATATTTTCCCATCAAGTTGTCTTACAAAGAAGAGTCTGTCTTTAGGGAAGTTTAATGATATAGTGCTCTCCTGAGACTTACCTTGGAATTTCTTTGGCATGCTCTTGAGTACACTGCTGAAGGAGATCTATGAATTTTTGTGGAAAAGCTGAGAAGTCTATCAGAAGACCTTGCTGGAATTTTAAACTATACAGAAGACAGGAAAAGAAATTCTTTTAGAATTTTAATTACTGTATTTAATTACAAATAACATCCTGAAAAACTATTCTTTTATTTACTGAACACACATTATAATCAAGAATTAAGCTAGGGAACTTTGATTTTTATAGAGTTTATTCAATGGGAGGGAAAAGGTCAATAAATCTAGCTAAAGCTCCAAACTTCTGAGCTGTTAAGCAAAATGCTGATAATCTATCAAATATTTATTTTCGAAAACAGCCTGAATAATTACAGTATAAATAGTCCAGTGTTCCCAAAATGCCTAAATGTTTCTAATAGGTATGTGTTTCAAAGAGGATAGTACCGATACATTCATAAAACTTAAAAATTTACTTATTCCTAGATCAGAGACCAGAAAAATAAATATAGTTACCTCTGAAAATCTTCCTCTGATATAACAAGGTTATACAGAAAAAATGGATCAGTATCATCAGTCAGACGGATAACTAAATCCTAAAAGAAAGATTGTTATTTTTAATGTTTTCAGTAGATTTGGCTTTTAGAGTAATTTCTTCCTTCTTGGAAGTGAAATCATCTAGTATTATCAACATATCACTGTTATAGTTCAGACAGCTCTATCTTCTGGTGCTGCTGGGTTTTCATTGGTCTTTGGAGACTTTAGCATCTTAAATAGGGTTAAATATTCTGCTCCTTGAGAGCCATATGGGGTGGAAGGTGGGAAGGAAAGGGGTCTATAAAAGCTAATTAAATGCTAGGAGTTGAAAGTTGAAGAATATATCATTCTATCAGAGGCTTAAGAAAGTTTAGACCCAGCCCTTGCTGCACTATGATACCATAACAAAAGTATTCTTTACCACTGATCATATCATAATCAATTATATTTTCAGTTTCCCTCAAGTTAATTGTCTGGTATTTCCAAAGTGGTAAATACATCAGCAGAAATGACAAACAATCATCTACCCTAGATAAGAAAGGAACATTTGTCTCTCAGGCAGAGGACAGGGGTATCAGGTGATAGGCTGCCAGGGCTTCTTCCTAAGAGCCTACCTATTCTCTCCCACTCTAAGTGGACACTGATGTGGAACCCCATCTGTTTTCAGCTTCAAATGAAGTGAATACCTTTCATAAAGACCATTTTATCACAGCAGCTAAAGCTGACAGAAAAGTACACAGAAATTATGTATTTCAGAGCACACTGGCACAAGGAAAACAGGACTAGCAAGATGATGGGCTAACAGAGGTTAAGATTAAGTTTCTACTTAGAAATAAAATCTGCTAGGGTCCTAGAAAAATCTAAACCACTTTTATGAGTAGAGCTGGAAAACGAAAAGGTACAGCAGGCATAGGAATAACATGTAAGAAGTATAATACATAATCTCTACCCTAGAAAATTAGCAACCTAGGTGTTTGCTCTGCTTCAGAAGGCACTGTTCTTAAAGCAGCTTCTATTTAAGTATTTCTTGAAATCCACCCCAAGATGCTATAGAAAACTAAGCTGCTACTAACACCATTAGATCCTTGAATATGTACAAGGAAAGCTATGACAGAGAAAACAGATGTATTTCTTAGCCCTCCATTCTATATCCTCATTTCTGTTAATGACTCATACTTTTAAATCAGATTAGACTGATGTTCTAAACACCTATCTTCAAAAGGCAAAAAGATTCAAAACTATCTCCCTGAAGTGCTTCAATTCATTCTGTTCTCACATTTACATGAAACGCCAATTCTACAGGGTAGCAATATATATCCTAGCAACTTAAAAAAGTGTAATGGGGGAACTCCCTGGAGGTCCAGTGGTTAGGACTCTGAGCTTCCACTGCAAGGGGCACGGGCACGGGTTTGATCCCTGGTGGGGTTCGATCCCTGGTCCGGGAACTAAGATCCGGCAAACCACAAGGGGTGGCCGAAAAAAAGTGCAATGGGGCAAACCTAAGGAGACTGTTGTCCCAATCCCCAATTCTTGCATGCTTTAGAAATATATGATATAATAATCTCTCAGTTGTTGTCTTAGTAGGTTCTACCACCCCAGATCTGCAAGTTATAAAATGGCCCAAAATTAAAAAGCAAGATGATATAACAAAAGATCTCACATTCTTAAAGAACAAAAATAATTATAATGTACAGAATTACCATATCTCAAAAACAGAAAAATATTTATTTCAAAAGAAATAAATACCAACCTTTCTGTGAACTGGATTAGAAACTGATTGTAGTTCAATGCTCAGTCTAATACTCACTCTCCTGTATGAAAAGATATGCCCAACTATCAGAAACATTCACATGAAATGAATTATTACTACCATTTGTATAGCTAACATTTTCCATCTTAAGCCACAAGATCCTCCACAGGTTGTCCCTAAATTATGAACAGATGTTTGGAAAGCATGCTGGATTTGAAGTTTAAGTTCCTATTTTTCTAAAAGTAAGCAATGAGGTTTTTAACCTGAGGATAAATTTTTCTCTCCTGTAAAAAGAGGTTGTCGTGAGGATTAAATGAGACAAATGATGTGGAATGCCTACTGTTAGCCTGGTATACAACCTTACTGGCCTGATTCTCAAATAATATCTACTGAAAGACAAACCATCAGTTTTATAACAATTTTTCACATTAAAAAATACCACCTGAAATGACCAAATTGATTTATGAGAGATTTCATTTGAAAATTTTAAAGTGTGAATAATATTAAAATACTTTAATGTTTACAACAAAGGAAATAAGAAAACATGTTCGCTTCCCTTATGCATACACACAAAAAATTTTTTTCAGATTCACAAACTACATCTGATCAATAGACTCTCTATGCAATATATCCACAGAAGTATTGTCAAGTTTATTATCTATCTAATCCCAGAGTAAATCTAAACCCTAAAGGGAAAAAACCATAGTGTTACACATTCTATACTGCATCTTAGAAAACCCAGTATTGAATAGAGGCATATAAATAAAGGTGCTCATAAACATTAATTAAACTGAGCAAAAATGTTTAAATAATTCAGGAAACAAAGGGGAAATGGTGAAAAACATCTCTGCACAAGTGCTTCTCAAACTATTCTGCTAGAATTAAATAACAACGGTCTTTCCCTAATGTGAAGGGAAAATAAACAAACTGAATTTGTTCAGTTTTAAGTTATTTTTTTAAAGATGTTTTAAACTTTTTCCACATTCTACTACTTCTACAGAAGTACAGACAGAGTAACTGAGTATTGATGGAAAAACTTGGTAATAGTTGACTAAGGCTAGATTCAATTCTTTAGTTTTTTTTATGCTCTGACTTGTAATTTAAATTGGTTAAATACATGTCATTTTAAATTTCTTATTAAACATATGATTGGATATTAAATCTTAGTTCACATGACGAGGTTACCATAACTTGTATACTATCTAAAAAGGAACAAGCAGCACTGGTAAACACCGCAAGGAGCACTGGTAAACACCACAAAGGTAGGAAGAATTACCTTTAAAATAAGAGAATGTTTTGTTTCTATCTCTAGTATCTAAAGCAATGTATGTGAAACAGATTAAACTCCTACTCCAATTCCACTTAAATTAAGTGTTCTTGGGGGAGGGGGAGAAACCTTTCAATTCCCTAACTTATAAAAAAAAGTGGAAAAAAAGTGGACTGAGTTAGGTTTGTGAGGGCCTTTTCAGCTCTACAATGTCATTATGTTTCGTTTTCATCTTTTGAAGTTTTTTTTGTTTTTTTTTTTTGCGGTACGCAGGCCTCTCACTGTTGTGGCCTCTCCCGTTGCAGAGCACAGACTCCGGACGCACAGGCTCAGCGGCCATGGCTCACGGGCCTAGCTGCTCTGCGGCATGTGGGATCCTCACATGTGGGATCCTCCCGGACCGGGGCACGAACCCGCGTCCCCTGCATCGGCAGGCAGACTCTCAACCACTGCGCCACCAGGGAAGCCCCTTTTTAAGTTTTTTCTAGTACATACTGCCATAGTGATATGACACTGTGGTTGATAACTTTACACTTTTAAAAGTGTGTCACACTTGATAAATTTGTAAAAAAATTCAAGAAGCATCCATTAAATAAAGTATTCTCTACATAATACTGGAAGTTTTATTAATATGATAAATTTCCAATCATATTAATGATTTTGTTGCATATATTCCAAAAGCCTATATGCATTAGATGCTGGGGGGGAAAAGAGGAGGAGAAGCCCATAGACTAAAACTATTCCCCACGTTTAATTCAAAAACCTCCAGAGAAATATCTTGTAGAAAATCGTGAGCTTTCAGAGGATCTGAAATCACAAATCTTACTTCCTCCACTGTAATGGCTAATGTCATAGGAACAATATAAAACGAAGTTTAAAAAACAATTTTAAAAATGCTACTTTTCAAAATAAATGTCACATTCTGAACAATGCATAAATCTGCATAACATTCTCCCTGTCAGTTAGATTCAGCAGAACTGGATTCTAGCCCACCTCTGCCACAGAGTAGCTGTGACCTTAAACTCTCAATTCAAACAAAAGCTACTCTAAGCCAGGTACTATGCTGGGTGCTAGGGATACAAACAGAAATAAACATGGTTCATGTCCTCAAATTGAGATCAGATTAAATGACTTTACCCTAGGTTTGCTTCTGATTGTATTTTAAAGCTTCAAGAGAGAGGAGGGAATGGTTACTAGCACTTACCAATTCATTCACTACTGAGTGCCTACTAGACACTTTGCTTATATCATCTTATTTAACAACAATAATGCCAAGTAAATATTATCTCTGCCTTACAAAGGAAGAAGCTGAGATGCACAGAATTACAAATTTGGTTAAGGTCACACTGCAGAGCCCAAATTAGAACTCAGACTTTTCACCTACACCATGCTAATAAATGATTAAGGACAATTAATATCAACTTAGGCAACTTTGAAAAGGTCCCTATAGCAAAAGAATTTAAGACAGACCTAGAAAGTTATGAAAGAAAAAGCATTTGAGGTATCAGGAAAAAACGGAGTAAAGGTATGATATTGAGAGAGTATCGGGTATACTCGGGATAACAAGTAGTCCTGTGTGACTACTATATTGGACAGAGGAGCTTAGGGAAAAAAAAAATGAAAAAGCAGGTTGGTGTCAAACCGTGGGCTTCAAAATTTTGCATCACTTTCCTCCAGACAGAGTTCTCTGAGCACTACCACATCCTCAACTGAAGTCCCTTTTTCTCTATGACTTTAATTCATTTACATTACTTCATGCATTAATCATACTTTAATAATAGCTTATGTTTACTGAATGCTCATTAAGTTCCAGGCACTGTTCTAAACACTTTATATGTATTAACTTATTTAATACATGCTCATAATAATCCCACAGGCAGGTACTTTTATTTTTATCAATTTAAAGATGAGGCACAGAGAAGAAAAATTGTACAAAAGCAAGCAGTGAGTGGTAGAACTGGAATTTAAACCCAGACAGGGACTTCCCTGGTGGTCCAGTGGTTAAGAATCTGCCTTCCAATGCAGGGGACATGGGTTAGATCCCTGGTCAGGGAACTAAGATCCCACATACCGCGGGGCAACGGAGCCCACACGCCACAACTAGAGAGCCCGCATGCTGCAACTATAGAGCACATGAGCCACAACTAGACAGCCCATGTGCCGCAACCAAGACCCAACGTAGCCAAAAAATAAATTAAAAAAAAAAAAATAAACCCAGACAATGTGGCTCCATAACCTGAACTATTTTTTTAATGTACAAAACAGAGGGATTATATATCCTTTTTTTTAATTGAACTATAGTTAATTTACAATGTTGTGTTAATTTCTGCTGTACAGCAAAGTGATTCAGTGATAAATATATATATTTTTTCATATTCTTTTCCATTATGGTTTATCATGGGATATTGAATATGATTCCCTGTGCTATACAGTAAGACCTTGTTGTTTATCAGAGCCTGAACTCTCAACCAATGCTATGCTGCCTCTCAAAGGAAGATATTTTTGTTTTCCCTGTTAAAGTGTGAGTTCCTTGAGGGCTAGAATGAAAATTGCTTTTTTGCTGTTGCTGCTGTTGGAGGAAGGTGGTGAGGAGGAAGGGAGCTTCTCAGCACCTAGGACAGTGCCTGGTACACAGTAGGCATTCATAAATATTTGTTGAGCTGAACTGGCCTTGAATACTTTTAACTAAAGAGTCTGGACTGTTTTTCCTATAAGTCAAGGGTCAGCAAACTTTAGTTGTAAAAGGCCAGATAGTAAATATTTTAGGCTTTGCAGGCTATAAGGTCTCTCACATTTATTCATTTCTGCCCTTATACCACAAAAGCAGCAACAGACAATTCTTAAACAAATGAGAATGGCTAAATTTAATAAAACTTTATTTACAAAAAAAGGTAGTGGGCTATCTGGCCCACGGGCTCTAGTTTTCTGACCCCTGCTATAGGTGATACGAATATACGAAAAGTTTCTAGACAGAAAGTCTAAAAACGCTGAAACTGTGTTTTAAGATAACTGTGATGACAATGTAGTGAGATGGAGAAGAGTTAGGAGTTTCAACACTGGGATCAGGAATTACGCCCTCCCTTTCTTTTATCTTTCTGTAATCATTCTAGAACACAGCTGTCCACAAATATAAGGCATGTATGTAATATTTAATTTTCTAGAAGCCACATTAAAAAATTAAAAGAAACAGATAAATTAATATTTAATTAACCCTATATATCATTTTTGTCACCTTAACACATAATCAATATAAAAACTGAAATATTTTACGTTCCTTTTTTCTCCTAGTAAGTCTTCAAAGTCCAACATGCAACTTACTCTTATGCACATCAGTTCAGCTTAGCTCCATTTCAAATGTCCAACAACCACAGTGGCTCCCATACTGGGCAGCACAAAAGAATGACCAACTAACCTATAGATCTGCATTTACAGCTGCTGGTCTTGGTACCATCTCCTTGCCTGGCCTGCCAATTGATTCTGAATCGAATTCTGCACTATATACTACTTTCACTTTACTGGCAGCTCAATATAACAATGTCTTCGTTTTTTATATGTCACATTTCCACACCATTTAGTCTTCACACACATTTTCACAACTGATCCTCCTAACAACCAACCACGTAGGTAGGCCTGCTATATCAGTTTTACAAAGGAGGAAACTTACAGTTCAGAGAAGTTAAGAGACAGCTGACACTCAGTGGTGGAACTGAGACAAAATTGAAATCTCCTGACTTCCAGCCAGATCTCTCTATTTAAGCCTCAACAGCACCACCTCTTTAGTCAGTTGTAATTTCGCATTTACCTGTGAGACTGGCCTTTACTTCCTCCCCCACTGGACTGTGAACTCCACGAACACAAGGACTTTTTCCTGACCATTGTATCCCCAGGGCCCAGCAAGGCGTTTTGCAAGTATGCAGTATTTGTTGAATGAAAAAATGAATGGATGAAATTGTAGTTTTCCCCAACTGTCTTTAGTCTATTAAACGTAACCTATTTTTAGTAACTAATGTGAAAAAAAGGCAATATACCATAAAGTTGATTTTTTTTAAGTCGAAGCTTAAATTTACTTCCAATATAATTCAAAGAAGAAAGAGAAAAAAAAAAAGGCTGGGAGCCAAGGCCTGAGTTCTAGTGCCCGCCCTGCTGTAAACTCGTAAGCTCTCGAGTAAATGAAGTTCTCTGGGCCAGAGTTCTTACCTGTCAAAAGAGAGAAAGGGGCTATACTGTCCACGAGAATGTTCAGCGATAAGATCTTTTTTTTTTTTTTTTAACTTGATGCGGGTCAGCGTCCCATTTCTCACACCCTTCCCTCCTCAGCAACGGCGGACTTGGTGAGAGGTAGTCACTAGGTCCCAGCTAGGTCTCCCTCCACGTTCCGGGGACTCCTGCCGGACACCCAGCCGCACGCCGGGGCCCACTGGCTGGAGCCGCCATCTTTCCCCTTTGGCCCGACCCCAACCGCCATCCGCGGGCTCGGGGTAACGCTGACCTCACCTCTCCTCGCAGTCTTTGCATTTCACTTGCAACGGGACGAGGTGCTGGAACAGAACCTGGCTCATGCTGAACCGCTTCCCCGGCAGGTGTGCGGGAAACTCCAAGTGCGGCCTGCAGCACTAGCCTAAAAGACGTCCGGGTCCTGTTAAAGTTTGAGTTTGGCGCTCGGTTTCCGCGGAGGAGGCGGGGAAAAAATAAAACAGAGGGGCTAGGCGGGAACTTTGGTCCTCGCCAGCCACCATCGGCTTCTTCCGGTTTTTTTCGGCGGATGGGGCTGTAGTTCCGGGCATTATCCTGCGTGGCTGGACCCGAGGCAGACATATTTGTTAAGGGAAGGAGACCCGAGAGAATCTGACAACTTTTCCTCTCTTCACCCGATCAATGCTTGCCACCCAAAGTGAGACCTGAATTATGGCGGCTTCTGCGCCGACGCCGCACGGAACTGGCTTTCCAGCAGAGGGGCGATGTGGCTACTATGTGGAAAAGAAGAAGCGCTTCTGCAGGATGGTGGTGGCAGCGGGAAAAAGGTTCTGTGGTGAACACGCTGGAGCCGCGGAGGTCTGGTATCGCCTTACCCTCTCGAGAGTCGGAAATAAGTTTCCTGGTCCGGCACCTCCCCTCTGACAGATTTCTGCTTCAGTCCCCTGGATTTTCCAGCTTTTCCTGTGATAAACGCAGTCCTGGCCTCCCTAGGGAGAGATGATGAGCCGTAGTGAAGTGCAGTGTTTTCTTGTACTAAGTAAAGCGCCAGCAGTGACCCGTTTATCTTGATACCAACTCATGGTAATGCTAGATTTTAGTTTTACGGCAGACTACCGCTTCTTGCCCTCCGCTCACTCTCCGCCTTCCTGATGGGAAATGGTGGTTTAGAAAGAAGAGTGATCAAAGAAGCATCCCAAGGTTTCACTAATTGTGTTTTCATTGTTCCATGAATGATAATAACTTCTTGTCAATGCGGTTGAGAGAAACTTTTTAAATTTTTTATTTAGACGTACGGTCTTTTGAAAGCAACTAATAACTACTTTGCTGAAAAGGGGAAGGAAAGATTTAAAAACATGTAAGAATTGACTCTCCTTTTAAAATTGAGAACAGAAAGTGTACAGTTTTGTTCAATTATACTTATGATTGTATTGTCAAACAACATATTTTTAGTATGTGTGTTTCTTTAGGATATATATGATAGGAAATTTTAAAAACAAGAACAGTAAAATGCTAATAGAAAAAGAGCATGTTTAATAGGTTTTAGAAAGATTAAACCAGAGACAAGCATCTGATTTTATGCCTTCTGAATGTCCAGTATTATTTACATTATTTTTCTTTGTTAGATGGTTTATCCTTTTAGGCAATATCCAGTACAGATAACCCCAGAACCCCTTCATCTCCTACTGTCCCTCATAGCTATAGCTCTAGTTCATATTTTGATTTGGCTAATATTTGCCTAGGCTGAAGTGTACTGAAACAAGCTTATTCTTGTTTTGGAATGTGAGTGACCTGTGATTTATGGGAACTCTTTGAAGTACACTCTCTGTTGTATTGGCTGGTTTTGAGAGCACCAGCAAACATCCCCTGATTGAAAAATGAACTTTCTGATAGGAGGAGGATTTTGTTCTCACTCTAAGACCTTACACTTCACCTTAATCAGACACCCAGAGGTGACTGCAGACGGTGACAGTGGTAGAATATGAATAGACCCTTACAGGGTGATCCATATTCCTGGAGAGGAATGACATCATGTTATTAATCCCTTGAAAAAAGACTGCAAAACACTAAGTGGAAACACTTTCCATGACTATGATTTGGTTTTCAATTTTGGGCATCGTACTGAATCTGTAATTTATGTTATAATTGGATGTATTGTTTCCGTCTTTTTTCTTAAGTGTCATATATGGCTGAGATCACTTGTACTCAGTTTTACCCAGTGGTTCTTAAATGGGGCTGATTTAGCACCCCCAGACAATGTTTGAAGACATATTGGTTGTCACAACTGAAGAGTGTTTCTTGCTTCTAGTGGAGAGAGGCCAGAGATTCTGCTAAACATCCTACAATGGACAGGACGAAAAAGAATTATCCAACCTGAAATATCAGTAGTGCCAAGGTTGAGAAGCCGTGTTTGTAAACCCAAATAATAAATGTTAAAAGTGCTTTTCTCCCCTACTCTATCATTAAGCTTTGGGAGGTTAGTATAGAGTCTTCCTTTCATGGAGGTTAGACTTTCAAGTCAGCAAATAGGGAAGAATAATGTACTATATTTTCAAAAGATACTGAAAAGTCTCTTAGCATGTTCATGAAATTCTGTGTACATAGTTTCATGGATATGCTGGGAGGCAGATCAGAACTGAAATAAACTGAAAAAGGAATTGTTAATACTAATCATGAACACTTAGCATTTACTGTATGAACAGCACCATGCTAAGCAGTTTTGCTTTGTTTTTTTAACCTATTAGCTCACTTAATCTTTACAGCCCTTAGGAGGTAAGATATATTATTGTCATCTTTCAGATGAGGCAGTAAGACTACCTCAGATTGTAGAGTTAGCTGATAGTTAGGAGCCTGATAGATAGAACTGGGGGTCATACCTAGGTAGTCTGGCTGACCTTTGGTTTTAACTGTTACGCTATCCTGTTATATACAGATTCATATCAGTGTTGGGTAGACTTGCCAACACTATTAATTCCTTTTTTTTCTCCTGAGTATATGTAGTTAAATCCATGTAACTTAGAAACGAACAGGATGTAACTCTTCTATACTAAAAAGTTGCAAAGCTAGTAGAGTAAGGCCACATACCAAATGGTTAAAATACCATATAGACAGTCCCCAACTTACAATGAATGGTTTGACTTACGATTTTTTTGGATTTATGATGTTGCAAAAGCGATAGGCATTCAGTAGAGAGCGTACTTTGAATTTTGAATTTTCATCTTTTCCGGGGCTAGCGATATGCACTGCTGGGCAGTGGCAGGGAGCCAGGGCTTCAAGTCAGCCACGCTATCATGAGGGTAAACAACTAATATGCTTACTACCATTCTGTACCCATACAACCATCTGTTTTTCACTTTCAGTACAGTATTCAATAAATTACATGAGATATTCAACACTTTATTATGAAATAGGCTGTTAGCTGATTTTGCCCAACTGTAGTCTAATGTAAGTGTTCTGATCACATTTAAGATAGACTAGGCTATGCTACAATGTTCAGTAGGCTAGGTGTATTAAATGCATTATTGACTTAAGATATGTCAGCTTATGATGGGTTTATCAGGTTGTAATTCCATCATAAGTTGAGGAAGATCTGTCTTTCGTTGTTTCTGAGATACTTTTTTTTACTTTTTTTTTTCACATTTTAACATCTCTGAAATCAGAATGCTTCTTAAAATCAATGACATGTTATAATTTAAATTGGCAACATTTTTCCTTTCTTAGTAATACCTAAAATAATAGTGTATATTATAGTCAGTGCTGTCATAGATTCAAAATTCCATATGTAGGCCTTTTCTATAACGTGTTTGAAGCTATAGACCCTGGTTGTCCAAAGCATTATTTGCTCAGATATACATAAACGAGCTACACCAAAGGTGTTTTTTTAATTGAAGTGTAGTTGATGTACAGTGTTATATGTTACAGGTGTACAATACAGTGATTCACAATTTTTAAAGGTTATACTCCATTTATAATGATTATAAAATATTGGCTATATTCCCTGTGTTGTACAATATATCTTTGTAGCTTATTTGTTTTATACGTAGCAGTTTGTACCTCTTAATACTCTACCCCTGTACTGCCCCTTCCCCCTTCCCTCTCCCCCCGGTAACCACTAGTTTGTTCTCTATATCTGTGAGTCTGTTTCTTTTTTTGTTATATTAACCAGTTTGTTGTATTTTTTTAGATTCCACATATAAGTGATATCCTACAGTATTTGTCTTCCCTGTCTGACTTATTTCACTTACTATAAAACCCTCCAAGTCTATCCATTTTGTTGCAAATGGCAAAATTTCATTCTTTTTTATGGCTGAATAGTAGTCCACTGTGTGTATATGTGTGTGTATGTGTGTGTGTTTGTGTGTGTGTGTTTGTGTGTGTGTGTGTATATATATATATATATATATATGTATATACCACATCTTGATCTATTCATCTGTTGATGGACACTTAGGCTGCTTCCATATCTTGGCAATTGTAAATAATGCTGCCTTGAACATTGGGGTACATGTATCTTTTCGAATTAGTGTTTTTGGTTTTTTTGGATATGTACCCAGGAATGGAATTGCTGGGTCATAAGGTAGTTCTGTTTTTAGTTTTTTGAGATACCTCCCTACTGTTTTCCACTGCACCAACTTACATTCCCACCGACAGTGTAGGAGGGTTCCCTTTTCTCCACATGCTTGTCAGCATTTGTTATTTGTGTTCTTTTTGATGATAGCCATTCTGACAGGTATGAGGTGATATCACGTGACACTGGAGATTTTTGTTGTTAAACTCTATGACCTGATTTTGCCAGTGTTTTGTTAATGTCCTTGTAAGGTTTCCTTACCTTGTTTTGGGATAGCATAAGCTTATGATTACACTGAAGTTGTATCTAGTATCTGTAAGCAGTGAACTTGATATTTTATTCAAATAAATATGCCTTTTTTTTTTTTTTTAATTAGGAAGAAAATGCTCGGAAAAGAATCCTGTGTCCTTTAGATCCAAAACAGTAAGTATGGGTCAGAGAAGGGTTTTTCTGTGCTGGAAACAGTGATTATCACAGTCTTATTTTAAATAATTTTCTCTTTAAATTTAGCACAGTATATGAAGATCAACTAGCAAAACATTTGAAAAAATGTAACTCAAGAGAGAAGCCAAAACCTGTAAGTGTTTGATCAGTAAAACTGAATGGTGAAATGTGTGGTATGTAATGTTTATATATACTTAGTAGATTACAAATGTGAATTTTTAACAAGGCTCTTGCCTCAGAAGGCTTAAATATGGCAAATACATTTGAGTGTATATAAGACATCAGATTGTGAATCCACTTAGACTCCTAATTGAGATAACAGAATTTTATGCAAGAAGAGTGGTATTCAGAGAATAATTCCACAGTTTAGTTATTCAAAAATATTTACTTAGTGCCTACTAAATTCATTTCAATAAAATATGATCCCAACCTTCATGGAACTTACTTGAGACTGGTAAGTAACTTGTAAATAATGGGCATTATTTAATAAGTTCAATGAAAGAAGTAACTACACATGTGATAAGAGCACATACTTGCATTAAAATTAAATCCAAGGGGTCAAGAAAGGCTTCCCAGAGGGAATAACACTTGAGCTAAGTCTTGATTTGGC